TTTTTTTGTAGAAAAACTAGTAAATTCAGATTTAAAATGGGTAAGAAATTAGCAGTATGGAAATTAATTTTAAAATACAAAGTTTCCTCAGAACACTCAATAAAAATAAATTTTCTGTATTCTTGAACATAAAGAAGAATTTATTAACTAAAAATTTAAATGTACAATAGCTGCAACACTGGAGCATATTTATAAAATAAAAATATATCTCTTATCAGACATACAAGTACAACTTTTATTTGAAATTAGTCCATTCATAAAATGTTAAGTCTATTATGTATCATACATTTTATTTTAATTGTTCTCTTTAAGTGCTCTCCAAACTGCTGCTTCTCATCGAACATCTGTTACTATTGGTAGTCTAAGTAGTCGATTGCTGCTTCCTCTATATAAAATTCTGTCTTTTGAAAGCTACGGCTCTGCATAATTTCTGCAGTCTGATCTGAGCATTGAAAGCAGCTTTTCAATATAGCAAACTTCTCTAAACAGTATATCTTTTTGCTTGTTTTTCATTTCCTTTTGTAGGGTCATAAATTATTCATAGAGGAAGAAGTAGATTCCTACAAAAATCTGCCATGAAATTTTCTTTGTCTTTGTTTTAATGGAATTCAATGAAAATATGAGGAACAGTGTTCATGTCATTTGTATGTTATTTAATCCTGATCATGGATAACACGTACTATTTAAATAAAACAATGTAATCCGATAATCTTTCATTATGAAGTATTGTATGTATGGCACAGTTAATGATTAAAATACTTTTAATGACTCGCTTAGACTATATAGGGATATTGAGATGGCCTTACTGTTAATGACCCCTCTTGAACAACTTTGTTCAACTCCTGTTACCGCCCCGAGGAAACTCATTTTATTGTTGAATTCAAGCCAAATACCTTCAGAAAAGATTCACACGTGCCCGGTTACTTTTTTTTCACCTCAGCTCGTCTGTAACATTTATCAATGTCTGTTTAACTCTATTTCTAATCAGAAACCTCCAACAAATCACTTCGAAGTTCTCCAATGCCAAAGTCCAAGAAAATATGAACCAAATTAATGATTCACCAAATAAACTAGGTTGGCATATTCGAGAATCAGAAAAAGGAAGTACAGGCAGAAATTGAAAATTTACAAGATACAATGAAGCGAAACGCACAGACAAGTTCATGCTTACTTTATGCGCCATTTAGGTTATTTCCGGGTATTCCACACTTAAAACTAATGTGTCTTCGGTGTTTATGGTTGCAATGGAAATGACACCGTCCTTATTCTGCTGCTCTACATTATCCCATGTTTATTGCGTAGGAGTTTTTCGCTAATTCGGGGCTTAAGAACAGAATAAGAATTTTTACCACATTATGGGATAGGGCTGTTTACTTTCTGTTGGATACCACATCTTTGTATTCACCCAATAAAAGCAAGATTGCAGGAGTCAAAGTGGGCCATGCAGGACCGCATTGACTCCATTTACTCACAGAGTGTCATAAGCAAAATGGGGAAAGAAATCGTTATTAGTGCATATTAACATAACTTTAACAAGAGACTAGATAAATCAGCAACAATTTGTCAATTAAACAACAATGAAACAGTGATCAGATAGATCTACCAATCATTTAATCCCACAGTCATCCATCCCAAGTGGTCGAATTTTTGCATAGATTGGCAGAGTCCGAAAGACTTACGACCCCTAGATTATAATGTCAGGCGTAGGACAGAACCATCAAAGTAAATTCTTCTTCAATCAGTCTTTACTTGATTCCTTTTCTAGCGAGTGAGTTGTTAAATTATTCGTATTATTGATTTTGTGTGGTAGCAAAAAGTAATTTTCACTAATAATGATAATATTTTCCTATCAAATTTGCGACGTTGGTTAAAATTCTACACATTGAGCAACATAGATATAATTTTTATTTCGACTATTTGAAATCCTGTTATTGTTAAGTTACATTTCACTTCATAGACATAGTCGCATCTTTTAGATCCCTTCCCTAACCATTTTCCAAGAATCTCTGAGTTTCCCCAGGGTCTTTGAAAACTTACAAATATAATTTTTCACAAAGTATGTATTTCATAAATTGATTTGAACATTAATCATATGATTGTCAATTATTAAGTGTTAGATGTTTGGTGTTTACTCTAGAATTAAAGGTATGAAAAGTAAGGTACTTGGTTTTTCAGTTTCTCGAGAAATTTCAAGAAACTAGAGATTTTAAGCTCAGTATAGCCTACTGCAATTGACAGCAATATCAGGGTGGCCACTTTCTGAAAAACCTGGAAAAATCAGAGGATTTGTGGAAGAATTGTGAGATGTCACAGGAAAGTTTCGGAATAGTTGTAGAACCAGATATTATTTCTAAAATTAAGTACAGGATTTTTTTTGCCCAATTTCAATTTGTTGAGTTATTTAAATTATTACTTTATCAAGGTAAAATCAGGGAGCTGACAAATTATTTTCAAGCTCTCATTTATATTTCTTTTTAATACTGCAAAATACTCTACAAATCTTACCATTGAACTTTTTTTTTTAATTGTTGTGGAAAATTGAAATTTGTACTAGGAAATGAGTGGCCATACTGAAGTTTTCGACCTCTTTATACCACTTTGAGCACCTGTGCATGCAGAGAGGGTTGAGATAACTGTATCCTATGCTGTGCTTCAAGTCTATATTAGTGATCTTGAAAATATATATGTGTATGATGTTTTAATTGTTTCAGATTGTAAAACAACTATTGGATAAAGGTGCTAATGCAAATACAACTGAAAATGTACATGGACACACTGTCCTTATGTTAGCTGTGTTAGGAGGAAACACAGAAATTGTTAAACTACTTTTGGGGAACAAGGCAAATGTTAACACAACTTCAAAGACCGGACAAACAGCTCTTATGTTAGCAGTTATAGGTAAGATTGAAAATATTTGTATTTTTTCAACAAATTTCTTTCTGATTCCAGGATGGACATAAATTAAACTTACTGGATAAGTGGATTTATATTAATTTTTTTACTCTCCGATAAATTTTTGTTTAATTGACAATATTTACTTTTAATTAATTTGGCTGCCATTGTCAGTTACACATGTGGTTCTCAAGTGCAGCGAAATTTTAACCCCCCCCCCCCCTCTCTTGTTTTTGTCCCTATTTCTATTGGAGCTACAGTTCAGGTTGGGATGTAGACTGGCATTGACCTTGTCACTGTAGTTCTACCAGGGGGGTTTACCAGCGCTGGTGCAACCTGTGTTTGGCACTGAGATCTCGAAAGTCAGGAAGGACTCGCACTGACACCTGATAACAATGGGGTAATACTACTAACCTTTTCCATACTGTTTCCCTTTTAAAATGTCTGATGCTGTGCTGACGTCCATTTAAATGGCAGTTTGGAGCAGAAACAGCAGGAGGATTTAGTAAAGGGCGAAAATAAATAAATTTAAACATTATGTCACATTCACTTTTTGAGCGATAATTCTTAAATGTGTAATCCTTTTCAAAATAGTATTTTCGGTGAAGCCTGAGATTGCTTGAATAGATCTCCCAAAATCTTCCAGAACCCAGTTAGCTTTCAGTCACTGCAGACAACACAATCTGTCGTCTTCTTCCCAGGAAAAGCAGCAATTACGTGTTTAAGTGTGCTCAGGCAAACAAGTTATACAAATTAAAACTTCCACTCGGTTTCCAATTGGCATCCAAATCCCTTAATTCTTTAGCATTTATTTTTCCATCTAAAATATAAATATTGACAGGTAAATCTCTTTGGTATAATTCTTATTTTTACTTACAATGGTTTCAGGACGCTTCACTGACATAGTTAAGTTACTCACAGAGAAGGGAGCGAGTGTGACAGTACAGGATGGCAATGGCAAACCAGCAGTGTTTTTGGCAGTTTCCATGGGCTGTAGAGACATTTTGAAACATCTTTTGAACAAGCAAGCTTCACCAGATGCCAAAGATTCATCCAACAAAACAGCTCTCCAGCTTGCTGTTGAAAATGGGTTCACTGAGATAGTACAACTGCTCCTTGAGTATGGGGCAAGTTCAACTCTGTGCTATGATAACTCTAACTGTCCCCTGAAAATAGCAATTCAGGGAGAACGTAGTGAAATTGTAAAAGCATTACTGAGGCATGACGCTGGATCAAACTCTGAGCAGGTAAGACACCTTATTGTAAGAAAATGAGATCAGTTTAAGAAAAGGACCATTAACAAACATTGAGTTTTTTTTGGGGGGGGGGAGAGAATATCAATTTTTTTCTTTTTTGAATTGATGAATCAAATACATCTAATAACATAAAACATTTAGTAAACACTCACTAAAGTTATTTTTCTTGTATAGCAAAATATTAGTTTTTTTCTATATGTCTGTCTGTGTGTACACACTTCTAACACCTAAGTCAGTAGGATTTTTTCCAAATTGTAGAAACCCATGTCAATCTGGCCTGAGTCGAGTCTCTGAGATTATGAAATAAATTCTTTAAAATTCAGGGGTTTTTTACATCAAGCTCCCAACATTTTAAACATTTTCTCAAAAACGGCTCCAAATTTTTTCTTTAAATTTCTTTTAAGAATAGAGTAAAATACACATCAAAGTGGCATAGGTCCAATTTTCAGATTTAACTCTGAATTTTCGAAAATTTCAAAATTAATCAGGCATCTTCTTGCTACTACAGAATTAAAGATAGAGATTTTTCCTTCAAATAAAATTTGTTCTCTATAGTAAGTTCTTTCATTAAGGTCATGTACAATTTTTTGAAAATGTTAGTAGATTTCACGCACTGTTGTGAGCAATATGGGCAATTTTTAAAAAATCCAAAAACAAGATTTTCTCAAAAGAAGCTCCAAATTTTTTCTTGATACTTTTGAAAGGTATTGTGCTAAAAGTTCTGTATGAGGTCAGCTAACATCTTGTTCAGCTATTACACTTTGCTCTATTCTTTGGTTTATTCAAAAATTACAAAAATGTAATGTAATGTTTTACGTGTCTCTCAAGTTGTTAACATTTATATTAGTGGCAATTTGTTCACATTATTATATTTATGAGTAAATGTGCTTTAAATGATAATAATTTAAAGTTTCTCGAAAACTCAATGGTTTTCTGTGAATTCCATCTCATAGTATACTATACTATAATATCTTTGAAATATCTCTCACACCATTATTATGCATATTTCCAGCAATTTGTAAACACTATTTTGTTAACTTGTGTAAACACTAAGTTTAAATGCTTCAAATGAAGTTTTTTGAAAACTGCAAAATTTTCTGTGAGAAGGAGCTTCAAATTTTGAATGTATAGTAGCACTTGAACACCAGTTTTTTAAAAACAGCTCCAAATTTTTCAAAGACAATTGCCATTTAGGACAAGGTTTTACTTTTCTTTAAAATTCATAAAATAATATTTGCGCTCTACTATTAGCAAATTGAAAAATTAAGAAATTTTTTAAAACAAATGTACTTTGGGTGGCGATAGATTGCAGCTGACAAGGGTATGTGGCAAGTCTGAGTTTCTCGTGGAGACCAAAGGAAATTGAAAACTAATACAGGAAAGTCTGTGCCATTCTCTAGCATCACTAGTTAATTTGAAAATCATCAATAAGTGTTATTAACTGCTACTAAGTTCTTTTGTAGTTAATTAATCTCATACATTTTATTTATTACTAGTTGATTATCGGTGTTGCCCAGTTCATCACAATCATCTCTTAAGCACCCTCACCCACCCTACTTTAGTCATCCGTCTTCACCACATACACTACCTGGTCACCCTTCACAGGCCTCCTCCTCACACCTGGCCAGCCCTTCCAGCTCCTTTGGCTCCCTGTTTCTCCTGCATCAACTGATGTTACTGCAGAGTCTGATCGGGAAGCCTTACGGTTCCACTTCCAATGGTGGCAGGATTTTCAACACAAGCTAAATAGCTATGTCAAGTTCAGTTGTTGTCTAAAGGAGAATTCCGGTGACCAACTGTTCTGATCAGTAGTTTTCCAGTGGTGACGTTCAAGCACTCAACTGGATGAAACCATCAACAGCTGATACATGCCAGGGGCAGAGTTGGGAAAATCACAGTATTATCTGCCACACATATCAGCAGACCATTGGGTAACTGTTTCAGCTGAGGCGGTGCTGCCTCAAGTCATGCTCATAGGAGGTGCCTGGTTGGGGAATATCCACACAAGCTGACATAGGTCGGTGTCGGATCTCACCATCCAGAAGGGGAAGATCACTGTCGCCTCCTGTGATAAATACCTGCGCTACACTTATGGGATTAATGACACACCTGGAATCACAAATCAATCAAGCTCCTTCCTTTCCTCCTTTTTGATTCCATCCAGCCCCAGTCAGTGCTGCCTCATGTCGCATGACAATGCCTAGTAGAGATCATGCAAGATATTTGTGCACTTATCACATGTGAAAAGTGTGAGCAAGACACACAAAAAAGGAGACTCTGCACACATAGTAGAGCCATCTATGCGTGCTATTGCTGTTCAGAAAATGTCCTCATGGCATGAGGTGTCACCATGTAAAATAAGGCATCAATTCTTTTCCAAGTCAATTTAATATGAGATACAAATAGCCACTTAAAAGTCCTTCTGCCTCTATGTTGTGAAATTTAAGTTTTCTTCTTTGTCTGATAAGTGTTTCCAACAATCTTAACAGTTGCTACTCAATGTATTTTTCTAAAAGGTATGGCAAAGTCTCTTTGATATTCACTCTTCTGCACATCCCTAGACATTTATTTTATTTATTCCTTGGAGCAACAAACAAAGGGCCGGAATAATGCAGACATATTTTGACTTTTCTTTTTTTTTAACTTATGTGTATCACAAAACCAGTTTACAAATGATTAAGGTTGTTTCTTGTGATAGGTTCTTGATGCTCTCAAATCAATGAAGAACCCATCAGTGGCTTGGGCTATGGTGGATGGTGTCCCAAACGTCATCCGTGGTGAAGCTGGGATTAAAGGGCTCTTTTCAGCTGTGGCAAATGAGCACACATCTGTGGTACAAGTATTTTTGGATGTAGGATTGGATCCAAATAGTCGAAACAGTGATGACTGGACACTTCTACACATTGCAGCCAAAGAAGGTCGCCCAGATTCAGTGCGGGTACTTCTTCAGAAGGGTGCTGATATTGAAGCTACTAAAGAAGGACTCACAGCTCTGCATGTTGCTGCACAAGGTATGATTCATTCATGCTGTTTATCAAGAAATAAAAACTCTAATTTTTTTTCAAGTTTAGTCCTAAAATTTATTACAACATTCACTCTACACATAAAATTACAATCGGTTCTGAAGCATAGCAGGCTTCAGCGGCTCAAAGCAGGCTCAGAAGAAAAATTTTGAAAAATATAATAATTCTTTTGGAAAGAACGTATTTATTTAATTTTTTATTTCATGGGAAGAAATCCATAACTCTTTTCTTCCCAAGCATTGAAATACTTCATTTATTTCATACATTTCTATTAAATATTGATAAAATGTTCCCAAGCAAAAACAGTTTCCTAAAAATAATTCGATACTTTGGTGAAGGGACATTAAGAATAGGGAATGATGGGAGTTTTCCAGAAAGGAAGTGTACAGACCCCTAAAATCTTGTATTTTGTCAACTAATGTTCTTTCATTTTACTGGTAGGCAAACAGAATACAAATTAATGTTTGAAGGTGTAAAGGGAAAATGAAATTTTAAATTATTTGACATTTTGTTGCATTAAAAAATTGTTGGACTTAGAAACTTCACATTGTCTACATGCATTCTTATTACTAATTATATAATCAATATGGACATTTTGTCTCGATCTCTTGCCATAGTGCCAAATTTGCTATTTGAGTGCCAGATACCAAATTGCAATTAACGTTTTCAGAGTTCATATTTTGTCTAGTTGTTCTCCTCAGTTCTGTGAAGAGAATATTATTTAGGACTTAAAATTAACCCAAATTATTTCATGTTGTTGGAATGTAAATATTCAATGCAAACCTGGCCCCACTAACAAATCAAAATCTCATTATGCTTCTCTGTCATGTAATCATACCCAACTTAAGTTTTGAAACTAGAACTGATTTTTTTTAATGGTGTAATTCATATAGAAGTATGCCAGAGTACAGAAAGTTTAACCTAATTTTCTTCAACAATTTTTGTCAAATGTTAAATTTTCCATCTAAGGCCAAATGTTCATACCTTCTTTTATACTCTGCCATGAACTTCTAATGTTTTCAGAACTCATTTGTTTGTACCTGGCGATATGCCCCTCAACATCCATACTCATAAATTATGGCTTAACACTCCAGATTGCAAATGTCATTTGTTCACTTCTCAAGGAATGGACTCAATTTTACATATTTGTGTTCTTCATTTGAGATGCTATTGACCGAAAGGTGTAAAACTATGCAAACTGTTTCATATAGGAAAACACAACTCTGTCGTGCTGAGAAAACTACTGAGATAATTCATGGCATGTTTTAGTATGTCCATCAACAGAACAATTCCAAAAGAGCATTTTCATTCTAATATAAACATCTCTTCTGATATATTAACTGTTCATCACAGAGCTGTAATGGAATTCGGGTGGTTCCATAACTGCCAGGAAACTCCCAATGTAGCAAAAAGCATCACAATATTTATTTGGATTTAGAAGTTTAGAAAATCACATACTACTCAAACATGGAAAGTGTTCGTGATCTGGGCTGTTGGGGTGACGCGGTGTCACCTGGACAGCCCAGATCACGCACATGACTCTGGCCGCAGAAGCCTACGACTTTATACGTTGGTACTATTGGTAACATAAAATTTGTTACCACTTAGGGGTTAAGTATTAATTTTGTATATAATCCATTAATATTTCTGTTGTCCCAGGTGGTCATCATGAATGCCTCTTGCAGCTTCTGAATAATGGCTCAAGTGTTTCTAAAGTAGATGATCAAGGAGCAACACCCCTTCATCTTGCTGCAGCCAGTGGTTCAGCTAGAAGTGTTACTGCTTTGTTGGCAGCTGGAGCAGATTTTTCAATAAAAGACATCTTGGGCAACACCCCACTTCATAATGCTGCCGAAGGAAGTCATGAAGAAGTTGTACGCATATTATTAGAAGCAGGAGCGAGTCCTCTGGAAAGAAACAGAGAAGGAGAAATGCCCTATGACATTGCAACTTCTGAAACTGTTCAAGAGTTGCTAGAATACGGTGAATAAATATGACCATACATTGATTAAGAAAAAGTTGAGATTGAAATGCATTAAATATTTTCTTTTATTAACATTAAGTTTTAGACTTTTTGTTTACTACCACCACACCCCACCTGTTATTTTGTGGGCCTTTCTTTTGAAGTAACTGAGCTAGGATATTGAAGAGAATAAGTGAAAAAAATACACAATTGTTTTTTTGTGTACTTTTTGTTTTTGTTCCCTTGGCTTATCTCTTATGGTTTTCTTAATGAGAATACTGTAGGAGTAAAAAAAAATATATAGTGTAAGCATCAGCACCCATTGTTTGAATTAAAAATATTGAAATTAAACTGAATAATATAACACATTGTTTATACAGTTTGTGAATTTTAGTGTTGTTTTTGAGTGCTCAGGAAGTGATGCACTCAGTAGTTAATGTTACATTGCATAATATCTTATCACATCACATTACACATTCCATCACTGAAGTGTTTTTCATTCAGCTGTTATATAAATATTAATTCATAAGTATATTTCAGAGAGAAAATTATATGCAACTGAAAACCATTTAGGAGCAATTACTTCATCTTTATTTCATAGTTCTTTTTTTTTTTAATAAAAATTTAATTGCTTGGGTAAAATTGAAGATAATATAACAAGTTGTTTCAAAAAACATCTATCAGGAAATAATTTTTTTCTTGTTCCTTTTGTTTCCTTTTATTACTTTTACCCTATTATGCTGATAGAATTTAAGAAAATAATTAATTAAGTCTCTCTTTTTTATTATTATTATTATTTATTACATTTAGATTTTTTGGTATGTTTGCTTAAGAAATGTGCATTTTATGTTACTTAATTGAAATATTCTCTAGCCTAACTTTAATTTTGTATGCATTTATTATTAATAAATATATTCCATATTATCAGTAAAAGGCTGTTACAGAATTTCATTTACAAATCCCACTTATGAAGAAGCATTTGAAGCGGCAAGAAAAAAGTGGGATTCTCCGTTGAAAGTTAGTCCCAATTACTAGTTCTTATTTTATACATAAATTTTTACAGTCATAAAAATTCAAGGTTTTCCACCTGAATGTTAAAATGTTCAATTTATACATGGATGATTTTTTCTTAAAACTTTGAGACATATACACAGCCATCCGAAAGTTTTTAGATGTTACTGATATCAAATGAGTCGAAAATAGATTCGGAGAGTAATAATACAATGCAATTATTGACTATATATTATCCACATACCTTTTGCCAAAAATGTGTATATGTACAAACTGAACTATTTTAACTTAAAACAAAATTAATTTGTTTAACTGTCTTTTCATAAAAAGGTTTCCTTGCTGGAATAACTATCTTGATGATTCTTGGCATCCTATTCACGGGTTTCTCACAAACAATAGCTTCAATGAATTATTTTACAAATTTGTTCAGGGTATATATTAATTCTGAAACACTATGAAGCAGAAACAGTGATGTACCTACAGTCCAAACTCCATAGAACATGACAGCAATCTATGACTTTCTCTGCCACCTAACACTTTTTCACCAATGAATACTTTTGAGTAGAGATAAAAGGATCCATAAGTAATGTTTATCTACACAAGATAAATTGAGGTAAAGACCCTTTTTCAATGCCCTGGGTTGGAGTGGCACTATCAAGGCCATATACTGCATGCGTAGAAAAAAAAACTTTAATGGGTGTCCAAAAACGTTTGGCCGTCAGTCACAATAGGTTTTGCCATTTGCTGGTTTAACATAAATTTACCCTGAAGAACTGGGAATAAAGAATGTAGACTATTAATTGAGAATTATAATGACATTAATTTGATTTGAAGTTTGACAGTTTGTTGAGACGTCTCATCAAAAATACTTTGTTAAGTGTATCAACACAGAACTAAATGAACATTTGATAAAAAGAAAAGGCGCTAGAAGAATAGTTTTTTTTATTATGAAACTCTGACAAAGGGCTTATGTGTGGTTCATTTTGAGTAGTACTTTGTGAAAAGTAAACAGAGGTGGTTAGTGATGTGTCTTTGATGAGTAAAACTGAAACTTTAAAAAATTGGCCGAACAACATTGATGTTTTATGCTGGTTTAGTAATCTCTAACATTAAATTTGTGTACAACAAATTTGAATTCACAGTGTCTGTGTTTATTCTTTTATAATTAAGATTTAACTGGGAAAAAAATTGAACGACAAATAGAT